GGCACTGAGCATGAAAGAGCTGTTAACGGGGCTTGGGGAGAGGCTGTGGGCACCGAGAGGGAGATCGTTGATGGGGAAGGTCAGATTTATGGCAATCAGAGCAGCCACCAGTATTCATGTGGTTGTGGGTTGCAGCTCTGGAAGCAGGACTTCCCCAGGCTCCCACGCTCCGCTCCATCCCAAGGGCTCGTCCTGGGGGACGGGTGCTGGCAGCCACGGCCACATGCAGACCCCAGCGAGGGTGACGGCACAAACCGGGCCCAGCAGGCAGTGGCACCAGGGAACAGGCCGAGGCTCGGAGCTGGCTGCAGGCCAGCTCCCTACTTTGCTTTCAATCACCACGGGACATCACAGGAGACACTTTCCACCTCTGAGACCAGCCTTCCTCCTATCAGAGGACCATGGGGCAGCTCATGGTTTCACCACAGGACTGGAAATCCCCAGAGTAACTGGGGGCTAACAGGTCCGCCAGCAGTGCCAGGTGGCTGTGGGCACCATGAGGCACATCCCACCAGCCTGCCCTGCTGCAGGGTCAGGCCTTGCTCTCTACGCTGATGAAAGGACAGAGGCTTTCCTGGAGACTGGTTGCACATAGCAGAGGAAAGGGCTGTTGCCTATGTGGCAGGGAAAGCAGCAGGAAAGTTGGAGGGCTGCCTGTGAGGGGAGGCCACAGGATGGGTTTGGAGGGCACAGTGCTTTCTGGAGAGACAGACTGGGATTTCTACACATAGAAATGCATCTTCCTGTGTGTATCTTTTTTTGCCCAGGCAAATACAATTTCGTGTACTAATGAGACAGCACAAAACAAGCAGAACAAAACAAACAACAATTCAAAACAGGAGAGTGCAGCTGACTTGGGTGATTCATTTATTCTTCTGATGGAAGCAAATTAGCAAGGTCCCACCAGCAGACAAGCTACTCAGGCTGCAGAGAGGCAACAGTCTCCCACTCAAATTAAACTGACTTGTCATATTAATTCCAGATATTATCTTGGCAGAAGTGGTGCTGCTGTACGCAGCTTGCAGCAGCCAAAAACACTTGTGGCACTGCTGGGATTTTTGAAGAAGCTGCTGTGCCAGCTTGGACCAAAGCTTCATCCTACTCAGTGCCTTGTGCCCAGCTCTGGCCCATAGCAGCTGTCCAGGACACTGCTCAGATCTGTGGCTCTGACCTCCAACAACACCTCCAACCCTTCCCCAGAGACACCACCAGTATCTCCACCACCTGATGGACTCTCACTGTTTCTGGGCAGCTGCTCACGGGTGGGCATGAAGAGGGCTCCCCTGCAATTATGTCTCTCCCTGCCCCTTGGCTATTTCTGCCTGCACAGTGGGACGATGCCTTCTCGCCCCCTCTCCAGGCCAGCTAGGTACATTGGCCCCATGCAGGCCAGGGAGGGGCTGCCAGGTCTAAATCCCATTGAGGGAGTGGGGCAATTTCTGCTGTATCATTGCAGAAACAGCCAGATTAAGACAGAAGCCAGTACTGAACGATAATTTTGTCCCTAAACACAGCGCAAACAGTCTTTTTATGAGTAAAGAATGTGTAAGTACCTGTCTTAGACCTATGGAGTCCCTTCTGAAAGGGTTTCCCAGGGTGCAGATGATGTGAATTGAGGCCATTTCGTCCTTTAAGAGCTGGGAAGAAACTCAGTGCAGGACAGTAGATGTTCTAGGAGATCCTCTGCTGAAGGGCATTGCCTTTCCACAATAGGATTCAGCCACCAGGTTGCCAATGACAAATCATCTCCAGGTGTCCACCTGGGTGCCTCAAGACCAATACCCACATCTACTCCTCACAGGTCCAGTTCTACTCTTAAATGGGAAAAGTCTCACTAATGCAGAGAACTGGCAGAAGACAAAGAACTCTTTCAAATTGTCATTGGGGCAGGAAAAAAAAAAAAAAAGGAGGTCACATCAGCCAGCTTGCCATCATAGTATCCCCTACAGCCCTTACCTGCTCACAACACACATATAATTAGTTCACTTGGTGGGAGCAGGAGGGATGGAGCAGGTCCCTGAGTGGATGGGGATGACTGATGTGTGTTCCCTGTGGAGCCTGGAGCCACGGTGAAGAGATGGATGGAGGAGAATGTGGAGGGGAAAGTGTCCTGATTGAAGAACTTATACAAAACTAGGTCACACCTCAAAACATTTTTCAAGGAGTTTTTGGGAGGAGTTTGACTTTGAAATTCCTTTATAAAAATAAGAAGTGTCCTACATAGGACTGACTAAAAACTGATACAAGCATCCCTTGGTAATGTATACAGCGGTAGTAAACTCCAGAATAGCATCAGTGTGGGAGTTGTGCCATCAGCAGAGAGCCAGCAGAGACCAGCTGCAACTGAGAAACAACTTCTCTAGAAAACTGCTGTGTTGGGTCAGTGTGAGGGGACAGTCTTCTGCCACCCTGTCAAGACAGCTGGGACAACTGCACAAAGAGCTGGGACATGTGGGGACATGAGTTAGAGATCTTCTGCCTAGCAGAGCTTTGGCCATGCTGGGGCACAGCTGAGGTTCAGAAGGAGAGGCAACTGCTGCCTGCCACCTACTCCTACAGCAAGACCAAACAGTCTGTGCTCAGGCTCTGCAGTGCCACAGATGTGGAGCACAGCATATCTAACCACCTTATTGCAAGGGAGGATGGCCAAGCATGGCTGGAAGGTTGTCTTGCCCCACCAGCCAAAGGAAGGTTGAGTGAAGGAGCTGGCCAAGGGCTGATGTCCATCCAGGCAGGATTATATAGAAAACAATCCAGTGCCTGCAGCTGGCAGCAGTGGGGTCAGCTGCTGCCCACAGCAGACCATCCTGGAAGAGCTTCTTGGAGGAGCATCCTCAGCTTGTCAAGAGCCTGTATGAGCACCATCACCAAGATGTGGGCCTGCCTTGTACTCAGGCACCAAGCCCAGCAGTGGGGCAGAAATTGCTTTGGCCTGGGGTCTGTACCCTCCCCTCTATTTATGTTGCCCTGGGGGAAATCCCCCACTTGACAGCACCGACTACAAGTTTCTGTCTCATCCTCCAAAAGCCTCTCTTCATTGTCCTGGACAGGACTTCTGGGCACTACATCTCCCAAAACTGTGTGTGAAACAGCCAAAGTGTAGAGGTGACAGAGGCTCTGTGAAGACAGATGATGTCCCTTACTTGGGAGGTTTAGGGAAAAAATAAATACATAGCAGCTCTCAAGCACACCTACTCTTCCTCACTACAATATGTCCTGCTATTTCTGTCCACAGCACAAACCTTCATGGCATGTGGAGGCCAGATCTCAGCTTTCTTTAGGTTGATACCACTTAGGAAGTAAATCTGTGCAGAGCATCGGTGCTGACCTTTGCAGAGCCTGTCTAATGCTGTGTATACTGCTGTGCTGCACTGATCCAACATTCACTGGGACCTTGCAAGCAACAGTGTGGGTGACAGTGCTGAACATTGCCTCATGTGCCTCTGTGCACAGTCCCCAGCTTCCCTGGGCCTGCCTACAGTTGTAGCATCAGCTCTTCCTTCCTGGCTCTTCCAGCATTGCCTTCTCACTGCAAATGTGCTGTGCGCCTCAGTGGTTGCCTGGTTTTCCCCAGGACTGATATCACATCTGCTCCTTGTCCTCTTGCTTCTCTCTAGGGCCACATACAAATACAGGGCAAATGCTCTATAATTTTCCAGATCCTGCATGAAGGTATTTGAGCTGTGTTCTCTGCTCAGCGCTGCAAAGTCTCAGCAGGCTTCTGCCAACATCCCACAGAACCTTGCCACTTTCATGCACCGTCATGTCACTGTGTCTCAATACAAGTTTCTCTGTAAAGGTCAGCAAAGGATCCTGAAGAAACTTCAGAGCCAGTGCTTTACCAAAAGTCAAAATCTATCTGCTGTGTTGTTAATTCCCACGACTTTTGTCTTTGTATGTAAATAAGTGGTTTATGTTTGCTAGTAGGATTTATTGCTGCTGTATTTGTCTCAGGGAGTGATCATTGTTGTATTGCCTCCCTAGTTCTCCTTTGGAAAAATGTTTAACTCCTGCAGAAGTCACCTGGTTTGTGTGAATGTGGTCCTGAAGCCCAGGGACAAGGACAGGACAGGATACCACACTTCTTCAGTCACAGATCACAGCAATGTTCCTGTCAGTCTGGCACAACTCCACCTGGGTCAGCAGTTCTGAGTGTAAGCCAGCTCAGCCAAAAGCCAAACTGGCTCCAGGTCCCTTGCAGGTGGCTGAATGCAGTGTTCAAGAGCCTAAATCCAGATGTCCTGGCTTGAAACATCTAAGGAGGATCTTTCATTCCTTCCTCCTTCCCAGTGGAAGGGAGGATGAGATTGAAGATGAAGCCAACCAAGGAACATGGAGATGAGCTCCTAGCATTTCAGCCACTCTTTCAAACTCAGGTTTGGGCTAAAGCTCAGATTCAGCTGAACGTTAGCTGGCTTCTCAGTGCAGAGCTGGGCATTGGGTGCTGGGTCTTCCAGCCCCATTTAGATACCTCAGGTTCCTTGGAACATGATTACTTCCATTGAAGCATACAAGTGCCGCAGCGCTGCTCCATGCCCCTTACCAGCACGTTCAGGAGCCTGCGGCTCCCAGCAAGTCACTGGGACAACCTCGTGACAGGCACTGGCTCACAGCCACATCACACAGAAAAAGGATGATTTTTTGGCTCTGCTGCAAGCAAAGGCAACATTCCTACCAGTTTTCATGGGGCCTTAATTCCCTCCAGCTCACAAGTGATGATCCCAGTGTTTTGGCCACAGCCATGTTAGTCCCACCATGGTGTGATACCAAAGGGCAGCACTGGTGCCCACAGAGACATCAGGCACAGGTCTCCAGCCTCTGCCCTCATGTGAGACCTGGGGCATGTCCAAAAGCCACGGCCATCCTGGCTGCCTGGTGTACCTGCCAGCCCCATGAGAACCAGCCCCTGGCCCACCTCCATCACCCTCAGTCCCCAGTGGCTGAAGTTGTGCTGTACCATACAAAAAAAAAAGCAAAAACTTACCCAAAAATCTCCTTCAACCCATTAGATGCTCTGGAAAGAAAACCAAAGGTTATGTTTTTAACCCAGTTTATTTTCATCACCTGCACTTCTGGTGATCTCAGACTTGAGATGAACATGCGTAAAGGACGGGGCAAGACTACACGCCATTGCACGGTACCCCCTCCTGCCTTGTACTTCTTATAAAATCCACCTGGAAAAATAATCCCGGAGGCTGTGCTGACAAATGACTAAGTCTTCCTGGTGCAGCAGTTTGCCCCTCCACTTTCCACGTGTGTTCTTTGGAAATCAAACAGAGAGAAACTCTTGGGGTGGCCAAAGAAAACATAGTCCTTTCTGGGCAAGTGCTCTGCTTATAAATAAACTGATGTATGGACAAATTACCAAGAAGCATAAATACAAACCCTGCCATCGGGCAGGCGTTTCCAGACTGCAGAGCCAACGAGGGGCTCTTTTGGCACTGTCAGATGTTATTGCTGCTGCTGGGTTGATTTACAGCAGCTCTTTGTGCATTGCTGGCTCCGGTGGGGGAGAGGCACTCACAAGGGACCGTCCTTCGCCATCCTTCATCCTCTGGATGCAAACCCAGCAGAGGAAACCCCAAATCTGCTCTTGTAGCCATGAGATAGATATATATATAATTACCATCATGATGTGATTTCTTCACTTAACAGCTGTTTATAAAGAATTTCTGAGGCTGTGAGGAGGAGCAGCCACAGTCTGCAAAACAGATCAGGACCAGGGCTACTTTCTGCCTCTCTGAGTGAGGGACAGGGATATTTTGGGAACTTTTAGCCTGGAAAGGCAGGAAGGGAGGAGTCAAGATGGAAACAGGGGGCCAGGTCTTCAGCAGACACAGAGCTCCAATAGAGGTAAGGGAGCCCTGCAGCATTTCTCCCCAGAATCTGTGAGCAGAGTCACTACCCCTGGGAAGCTAACGCTGTGCCCTGGAGAGCGGGGTACCCGTGGTGCAGAGGGTCTGGATCAGGCCCCGTGGGATGGGGCTGTTTGTAGGAAGGATGTGTCTGGAATAAGTATCGCTGTGACCTTCTCCAGCTGGAATGTGGGAGATTTACGGAGTAAACGGTTTTCCAGCCATGCGTGAAAGCCTGAGAGCAGCGTCTATACATTTCTGGGTAAAACAACAGGCAGGCAACTGGTCAGATCACAGCAGGAATTTCAGGTGTCCTCAGAGTCATCAGGGTAGAAAAACGTCTCGGAACATTTTTTTCGGGGGGGGGGGGGGGGGGGGGGGGGGGAGGAAAGAGTGTTTTGACTGACATTACCGCAGGAAAGGTCAGATTTAAATATATATATATATATATATATATAGAGAGAGAGAGAGAGAGAGAGAGAGTTAATATTCTTGATTGATCAAGGGTCTGGATCACCTCTCCTGCAAGGACAGGCTGATGAAGTTGGGGTTGTTCAGCCTGGAGAAGAGAAGGCTCTGGGGTGACCTTACAGTGGCCTGCCAGTGCCTAAAGGGGGCTACAGGAAAGCTGGGGAGGGACTCCATGTTGGGGGTACTGTGAAAGGACAAGGGGTAATGGCCTTAAACTAAATGAGGGGAGGTTTAGATTAAATATGAGGAAGAAATTCTTTACTCAGAGGGCAGTGAGGCCCTATCCCAGGCTGCCCAGAGGAGCTGTTGGTGACATCCCTGGCAGTGCCCAAAGCCAGGCTGGATGGGTCTGGGGGCAGCCTGGGCTGGTGGGAGGGGTCCCTGCCCATGGCAGGGGTTGGAACCAGATGTGTTTTAAGGTCCCTTCCAACCCAAACCATTCTGTGATTCTGTCATTGAAAATAACTGTGGGTTTTTGTTGTTGTTGTTGTTTTGGTTTGCTTTTTTTAATCCACTGAACATGGCTGCTGGTCACTGCCCTAGAGACAGCACTCCTAAGTCAAAACCTAAGTGTTTAGGGTACAGGAAAAAAAAAGTTTCTATTTTTTTTATCAATAACTTCTATTTCTTATACTGAGCCAAAGGCCCAGATTAGATCAAAAAGCTAGAAACATCCAGTAGATGCATTTCCGTGACTCAGTGGCCCAGCAGACATCTGAGATGCAGGAATACCCAAGCCTGAGCAGAACAGCAGCTGAAGCTCCTGCAGCATTACACAGCACAGGTGGAAGAGGGAGTTCCAGGCAGGATTACACAGAGGGGGTTCCATCGGTTCTTCATGCACAGCATGACCAAAAGCAGTGTTATTATGCACCTGGACCTGGCCAGGTGATGGTCTCGTGTACATGAGGCTTATACTGTGACTGACTACAATGGGAATTTTCAATCTGCATATTTGGGTCTTGAATGTAGCGTTGCATTTTCTGTGGGAATGGAGAAGAGATTGCACAAGGGTGAGTACAGACAGTGGTAGTAGACAAAAGGCATTTTGCAGTATGAGCAAAGGAAATTTCTCAGATGCTCATGGTGCACTGTCAAGTGTAAAAGAGGGTCATAAAAACAGTTCTGGTGTAATTGTTAAGAAGAAAAGCTCTTCAAACTTCCTTTTGTTGCTAAGATATAGCAAAACATAAAAATAAGCAAATGATCGCTGCAGAAGACACAGATGTGTACCACAGTGGTGCTCATAATCATTCACGGAGAAACTCAATTGTGACAGCAAATTAAATACAGTTGTTTTCCATGGCTACAATGCTACTTTGTGGTAGGACAAAAGCTTCATGTATTACCAATAATGTATTAGCAACTCTTTGGAGAAAATAATTCAAGACTTGGCTAAAATGTTCATACTTTTCTTTGTGGTTACTAAAGTCTTGAACCACGAAGATTTCAAAGCCTTTCAGATAGGTTTGCACTACTCAATTAAAAGGGTAATAATCTGCTGTCTGATTATTTTCAAGGATGAAACAGCACGAGGAATATTTGAAAATGTGAGAAGTATTTCAATCATAAGGTTTGAGTTCTGAGGATGATTCATCATTTTCCACTGAATTTTTGATTTTCAAAGCCACCAGTTTGTCCAGATTTTTTTTATTTTTTTAGAAGGCTGAATATTTGCTTCTCATTGCTCAACTCACATATGCAAAACATAGCAAAATATGGAGTGAATTCATTGTGTGATATTGAATGCTGAGTAATAAGTTTACAAGCTCCTTCCCCTATCAAAGGGCTTAAGAATTGCAGAGGGATTGGGATCTCTCTCATATTAAATACAAGGAAATGTTGAGGCAGCCCCTCATAAAATGGCTCTCTCTCATACGAAAGTTATCCCAACATGTTCCAGAGAAATAGCACAGCTGAGGTCTTTATATCCTTTAATACAATACAGATGGCCAGGGAGATGGAAAGCACTTCGTGATCAAGTGTTACGGGTTTGCAACGATAATTTTAAAATGCATAATAATATTTTTAAAGTGAGACTACATCAATCCTTTCATGCCAAAATTTAAGACATGCATTCACTGAAGTGTAAATTACAGCCAAGGACTGACAACAAATTCCTTGGCTGTAAGTGACGGCCCCTCTGAAAGAAATGTAACAACACTGCAGAGCAGAATAAGTAGCAAAGGCTTTTGTTTGGCTGTGTGCAGAAGCTTTCAAACACCTGGCTTCACAGTGATTTCAGCAAATTAAATTCACTTAACCTGATTCAGTCATCTTCCCCGAAACAAATGCTGACTTTTCTGGAAATCATAAACATCACCAAAGTGTTAAAGTTTGAGAACAGGTTTTTGGGACGCTTCTGTGTATCAGGAGTGAGTAAGCACATGTATGAGCACTCTTGAATTAGAGAAGGGTCTAATTAGGAAACTGAAAATCTATCTGTTCTGAATTTCTCTCTGTTCCACAAAATAACAGGGATCTCATGCCACCAATATGGATGTCAGCGTGTGCCCTGTATAAGCAGGTCTGGACTGCAACAACTTGCTAAATATCAATTCAGCTAGAGGAAACTTCTAGAGAACAAGTCTCATGAGGACCAGCTGAGGGAGCTTGGGTGTTTAGCTTGGAGTTAGAAGTCTCAGGACAGATCTTAATGTATTTTACAATAACCTTAAAGGAGGTTGTAGTGAGGTGGGGACCAGGCTCTTCGCCCAAGCACCAAATGATAAGACAAGGGGAAATGGCTTCAAGTTGCGCCAGGTGAGGTTTAGGTTGGATATTAGGGGAAATTTCTTTACTGAAAGGGTTGTGTGGCATTGGAATGGGCTTCCCAGGGAAGTGGCTGAGTCACTAGCCCTGGAGGTCTTCAAGAAACATGTAGAAGTAGAACTTAGTAGCAAGGTTTAGTGGTAGTCTTTAGTACTAGGTTAAGGGTTGGACTGTATGATATTAGAGGTCTTCTCCAACCTGAATGATTCAATGATTCTATGATGAGCCTTGAATTAACCTCATTTAGCCATATAAAGTATTTTATGGATGAATTAAAATAAAATAAATAAAATAAAATAAAATAAAATAAAATAAAATAAAATAAAATAAAATAAAATAAAATAAAATAAAATAAAATAAAATAAAATATTAGTGGAAACCTCATTGTCATCCTTTCTATAAACAATAATAATAAGCTCTTAAATAAGGCAGGGTTGGCAAGAAGACTCTCAAAGACGCCTGCACTCCCCAGAGACTACCTCCAGATACCTCCATTAGAGAAAGCCATAACCTCCCAAAAGCTTTTTTGACCCCAACACCATTTTGCAGTGGGAGCAATAATCCCAGTGGGATGAGCGGGACCCTAATGCCCTCCCCTTTTCCTGAGCAGCTGCCACCATCAGGGACAGCTGGGGCATGCTGGCTACATAAAGTGGAGACTCCATCACAGGAAAAAAAAAAAAAAAAAAAAAAAAGACAACCAAAAAGCTACACTTCAATTTGCAAATTATCCTGTTTGTGTTCCTGGGAGCTGTCAGCTTCAGGATAAAGCTCTGGCAGTGCCATTTTATGGAGCCAAATTTGCAGCTGCTGCCTGGTTTTGCATCATCTGCGGTGAACTTCCTGCACCAGGCACTGCAGCTCGATGGGGGTGTCCCACTGCCCGGCTCATGTTTTGGGGCTGATGGGCACAAATCAGAAACAAAGGCTGCTAGGAAAGCTGGTGCACAGGGCTCCATGCTCCTGTTTTCTGGAGTCACGGTGGGTAATTTAATAACAGTCGAGGCTGGAAGGGATCCAAGAGGCACAGTGAAGCGAGACAGTCTCCATTTGGCTTATTAACTTCTTTCTTCATCCCAATGAGTTTTTCCCAAGAAAAAATAAAAAATCCTCTCTTATGGACCAGCATGGGGTAAGCAGATTGGAGGGCAGGCCAAGACCCACATGTCATGTTTCTTTTTGCTCGGAGAAACCCAAGCACCAGTGCTGGGGTTCCTTGGCCTCATGCCCACAAGCACCAGCTGGTCCTAAGCTCTCCATAGGGACGTGTAGATCTGGCCCCTCTCCTGCCTGCCTTTGGGGAGGGGAAATCAAGTACTACCTAAATAAAGCAAATGCTAATGGGTTAAAAGGGCTTAAATAGATTGTTTTCCTTTGCTTTCTATTTTGGTGCTCTTTTCTTGGAGAAACCGAGGATGCAGCAGCCTGGAGGTCTCCAGCTGAGCAGCCTGCCCCCAGGTACTCAGACCTCATCTCATTAAAAGGGACCTGGGGAAAAGAAATAATAACTGCAGCAACCTAGATGGAGGATGTATGGAATCATGTAAAACACAGTGAAATAAACTTTGCTTAAATCACTTGCCCAACATTTCTGTAATTAGATACTGGGTATCCTCTGCTCAAAGATAAATTCCCGCAATGCCAAGCAAAACACTGATGTTCATGACATCAACACATGGGCATGAGCTGTCTGGGGATCTCTGGTATGCCCTATCGGCAGATATAAACTTTGTACAAGAGATGATGTTTAGTGGTTGTATTTTCTGGCTGTTTCTGGAAAGTAAATGCCATAATCCTCAACTCGGATATGACTGCTTCCAGCATAAACAAATCCAGGCAGGTTTTGGATTACGGGTCTAGAGTCTGAAAGTATCATCACAGAGGATGTTTATTTAACTGTTTCCAACTTTTTTTTTTATTCTTTGGTTTGTTTTCAGTATCTACATTCATCTGAAGCAATATAATACAGTCCAATTCACCATTTTTTAAATATTTTTTTTCAAGCTAAATGTCTGTCCCCTACCATTTCAGCATTTTTTGCTTCAGAAGTTGAGAAACAACCAACTTACTTAGAAATAACTAGTTTCCATTTAGGACACGACATTCTTCCAAGTTGTAATAAAGCCTAAGTAAGTATTCTATATACAGCAACCAGCACTGAGAGCATCTGTTATCTTTGGCACAGGTAGTCACACATTATAGCTGCTGCAACAATAGTCCACATCCATCCTCAGGCTGGAAACATTTTCTTAAATGTGTTTACACATACAGCATCTGACTTCAGTGTTTGGTTAGCTTCTCATCACTTAGGTGACGTTTCTCAGAGCGTGTAGGACAGTTGGATTCTATGAACTTGATTTCACATTGTACTGGCAGTTTCCCAGTGCTGTTGTGGGATTGCTGGTTGTGACGGCATATTGTCTTCTGACAGTATAGACTCCCCTGAGGATACACAGGGACAGACTCATCACTCTGACTGCAAACATATCACGTGCAGATGTCTCCATCTGAGCTACGCATCCAGGCTCCCCTTAAAAACAGTGAAGAGGAAACCAGCTCAATGCCATAAATTCAAGGTATAAGATGATGGAACAGAAATGATTGCAGGAGATATTTGGCTTCAGCTGGAGTCTTGTCTGTGGGCACTGGGTAAGATCAGTCCCATTTTGCCAGATGTGATGGCTCAAAAGCCCACGTGTGCTTACAGCCATTGACACTCTAGGTGTCCTTGCTCCAAGACTGGATGTTGCTGGACATAGCTGAGTCTGGTCTGGAGGAGGACATTGTGGGAAATGTAATGTGAGAAAAGAAGAGTGCGTTTTCCATACAGACTGGTTTACTTCTGGGTATTTTTGGCTCCTGAGATACATGGGATATTGGAGTCCTTTCCTGGCCATGCTGCATAGGGTAGCCTGGGATTCCCCATGGCTTCTTCTCTGTGGAGGGCCTGAGGACTCATCTCCAGGCCCCAGAGAAACCCATTGCATGGTACACATGCCAGCAAATAGGTAAAGCATCTCCTAGGTGACTCATCACACTTAACAGATAGAGTCACTCAGTGCATTTTCCTTCTGGCCCTTGTTGACAGTGGCTTCTCTTGTTGATGGGATGAAATTTTCCAGGTGGGAACAGTTTAGATAAGCACACAGTCCTGGAAGACACTTATGGTGGAGGTGAATCACTGCTGCCACTTCACAACACCCAGCCCTGAAGACCAAGGCAGACCATCAAGCGTACCATCAGCCACCCAGGGGAGGCCTCGAGAGAAGCACTTCAGCTCCCCTTGCTTTTCTCTGCTCCCCACTTGGGAGTAAATCCCCATACTACAGACCCCCTAGCCAGAAGACCCTGGAAATCAGAGCTGAGAGCCATCTTTGAAATACGTGTTTTTTCCACCCTCTTCCCCCAAGAAAAAAAAAAAGCAGCTTTCCCAAAATATCTACTACAAACCAAATGTCTGTTCAGATCTGCTTTCACTAACAAACCTACAGGGAGTGAAGCACCAGAATAGGGAACAAGTTAATTCAGTGCGTGCCCTCCTCAGCCCAGCATTACGGCAGCGGATAAGTGTATTTTTGTCCTCTTCCTCTGAGATATTTTTAGCTGCTCAAGTGACTTGTGGCAGTTCCCTGAGGCCAGAGTGATTCATACGGTTTGGAAGAAGGGCTGCAGAGACAGAGCTGGAGCTCTCTTTGGGAAGGGAGAGTCATCCCAATAAAATCAAGAGCTAGTTTCAAAGGCATACAGACTTTGAAAAATGGAGCGATATTTCCAGAATGAGTTTTTTTGGCTCTGGCTAAACTGGAGCTGTTGAATTTTCTGATTATTATATCATGGGGGGAGGGATTTATTTTGTCTGATGTTGGTGAAAGTGAGTGATTAATATCCCAGGCTGAGCACAGGCAGTGTGCAGTGCAAGACTGCACCATGGAAACTCCCCCTCTCCCCAGTCAAAAGCATCTTTTAACCCTGCTCTGGCCTTCATATGTCATTTTTGTCTTGCCTCCCTCCCCTGCAGTCCATCCATACAGATCAGTACTCCTCCTCCAGACCTATGACATGTCAGTACCTATATAGGGCTTGCAGAGGCTTTTTCAGGCTCTCCTTTGCAGAAAGTGGACTTTTCTAATATTTGTGAAGTTCAGATATCAAAGGGAGGTGGAGAACAGAACAGCTCTCCTGCTCCTCCAAATCTGTTTTCCCCTTTCCACAGGCACCCCCTAAGATCCTGTTCAAGAACTGCTTCCCTCTAGACTGATGAAATCCAAAGCAAGGCATTTCACATTAATCCATGGGAGATGAGATGAGGTTGGTTCAGAAGACAAGTCCTTCCTCTAGTTCTTCTTATTGCTGAACTTGGGAATGGGTAACTCCCCGGGTGGACATAGGCCTCCCATTGAGCCCCTGTGAGGTGAGGTGAGCTGAGTGTGGGCTGAAAGAGTATTCTGATGTTTTTCTGCTACCTGGAAGAACATTAGGAGAGAAGGTTGCCCACCCAGCATGTCATGGGAAGGGCAGTAGATAGCAAGCCTGTCCAGCAACTCATTGCAGGAGGGGGCAACTAATGGGACCACAATGAAGAACAGAAAATATCAGAGAGGGGAGCAGCAGTACAGGCAACAACCAGAACAAACTACCTTCAGCATCAGGAGTGCAGCTGACGAGTGCTGCAAGATCTAAGAGGGCCATGGGAAGAGGGCCTCCTGGCAGGAAGCATTTACAGAAGGTGGATAAGATCTTGAAGCCAAAAGGAAGATGAGAAAGCAAGGAAAGTAGACCCTTGGCCAGTGTTTGCTGTCTGGCATAAGGGTCAGAAAGTTTTGTCTTTGGGATGCTCCTTGGGGCTGAAGCAGAAGCCTGGCTTCCAGCTTCAGTTTTCAGTTTCCTTGGTCATGTGGATTCTGCTGGACTCCAAACCTCCCTCAGCAGCAGTGCTTTGTGGCCAGATAATTCCTGGCTGCTCTTGTATGTACATTGTTAGAGACTGTAAGTGACCCAGCTACACAGGGCAGTTCTTGATCAATGGGTCCTTCACGAGGTATTTTTGTGATGGACGGGAGCCAGCAAGATCATGTGCTCAGAAGTCAATTATCATCTTTTGCCGTCACAGGCTGGGACACGACAGTCAGGCTCCAGAAGTTATTTACAGCAAACCAACCAAGCCCTTTGGCAAAGCAGCTGGTGAACTCCACCACCAAAGGCTGAGTCCGGGATCTGTCTCCCCATGACCAGCACTGCAACAAAAAGAGCTTCTTTGAGCCTCGTCTTGCCTGGGAATCAGCCTGAGCCCACCCTTGCCATGCAGAGAAGAGGCAGGTCTACAGTGCCCATGCACTTGGTCTGCTCCTGCTGCCAGCCCACACCACTGACTGCTCGTCTCAGCCAAAAAAGGCAGGATGGGATGACAATAACATGGGGAGATAGTCCTGACTTCTGCAGCCAGAAGAAAAGGCTGGTACCTGACAAATTTAGCTGTCACCAAGGAAGGGCAGGCACTTGCTCTGTGTCTTTATGGCAAAGGTTGCTCCTCCACATATCAGGAACACATGGGAAAAAAAATATCTGCTTTTCAGGTTTTATCCCAGAATAGCAATGAGCAGTGAAAGGTGACCATAAACTAAGACAATATTGATCAAACCCTGGGGACGTGCCAAGCTCTGCAGAGGAGGCACATGGTGTTTAACCACGTGTTATTAGGCACACAAACATCTTCCAAGTGCAGCTGAGCCAGGACTTGAGAGTGAACCAGGCTGAGACCCTCCCCGAGGCCCAGGAGGAGCCACAAAGCAGGAAATGGAGCACATGAGAAATTTCAGCATAAAACCTCACCACAGAGCTGTTCTGGGAGCGAGTTTCCCACCGGAGAGTGTGGTCACACTGGAACCAAAACTTTTCATAAGAGCAGGCCAAAATGAAATGTCTGATTTCTAGTTTCATGTTTCTGCCAGGGCAGTTTCATTTGTAGTTTACAGGCTGTGCATTTCATTGATTTAAATTAATGGTTTAATAATAATGTCCTAATTCAAAAGTAATGCAGTATATTAAATTTGATGCTCTGGATAGATGCTAAACAGTCCTGTGATTATTTTAATGTTTATATTCTGACGTTAACAGAAAGAAATACCTCAGTGTTACAGAGTGAAAATCTGTTATCTGTTCTGGGGCAAATGCCAACATTTTGGGTTTGGGACTTATTTGCATTTTCTGCTGTACAGAAGAGAGTAACTGAGGTTGGAAGGGATCTCTGCAGGTCTCTAGTCCACCTCCCTGCTCCAAGCAGAGCTGTATACAAAGATGGATGAAGAAAACCCACAAAGATGGGATTTCCACATCTGCAGGACACTCTTCCAACCTCCTCCCTCCGGCAAGAGATCTCTGAGAGCAAGCAAAGGACACATTCAAGCACCAGAGATCTGCTGGGAATGAGAGGAAGAGCTCATTTCCTGAAACATCAGTGTCTTGTGCCAGCCTGGATGCTGCAGGAACATTCCCATGGGACAGCACATATGGCATAGAAGCTGTAGGACACTGACATCCCTTGGGGATTGTTGGAGCAAGGTGGGATACCCATAGTATCCAAAAGTGTTGGACACATCTGTCCAGGAGGTTGAATCGCTCCTTAATTGCCCTAATAAAGACCAAATGAAAACATCTCTTTGCCTTCCTCCACTCACAGGTGGTCTCAGGCCCCCCCAAAAAAAATATCTCTGCACAAGGATTGGATCCTGCACATTTCTCCAGGGAGCAGTGGGCAGAATTTCATGGTGATTTTTGGTGCTTATAGACCACTGAGATTTCTGAATCTGTAATTACCATCAAGTACCATCCAAGTATTGAGGGTATTTTTGAAGCCTGCTGCAGGAGGCATGAGAGCACTGTGAGTCAGGCCATCATCTCCAATCCAAAAGATTCAGGTGTCCAGTCTTGAAGAATTTATCTCTTCTGGTTTACACAGGGCTAGTCTGGTTCATCATCTATCTGCTGTTTCAGGGACAAGCTAATTAAAACAAAATACTCTGGCATGCACTCTTGCCCACAAGATTCCTCTACATAAAACAATGTACAATGTGCCTGGGTTTAATGCTTCAGGCTGAAAGACACAAAACAAGTCATGATGTTGCTACAGGTAAGCAATGTGCAGCATCAGAAAAATTGGCAGTTTAGATGCATTTTGAAGGGAAAGTAGCCAACTTTTATTTGTGCTCTTCATGCTCTTGCAGAAAGATGCAGTGAAAAAAGATTTCTTACATTTATTTTCATTCATTCATTATTTTCATTTATTTTCATTCATTGTGCCATGATTTTCCCTACTTTCCCCTGATAGTTGTTTCTAAAGAGAAAATGGGTTAAAATCAAAATCATATCTTGGCTTAAAACGAAACAATGAGATGGGGGACATGAATGTCTACTCCCCAGCTTTTCTGAACATCATGATTTAAGTAAGGCAACAAGAAGCTCAAGCCATGAACCAATATCCTGGAATAAATTGCAAAGAGGAGGAAGAGCAAGACAGGCTGCCAGCACTTGGAAAAGGCAGAAGATAGCAGAAATGGACCCAGAAATGCCACAGGCTGCCCACAATGGCTTGAGCACCCATCAGGGTGGTGGCCTCAGAGCTGCTGGCAGGGTGGGAGGACCATCCCCTCCTCTGGAAGACAGGCCAAGGCTGATCACAAACACCATTCAAGGATATCATGTCAAGATTTGGAGCAAACACTGCTTGGCACAGTCCACAAGCACAGATAGAGTGCTTGCAAGTAGGGCTAGAAGATCTGATTGAAAATCAACCTTTATTTTTGGCTGATGTTTACCCACAGTTATCATTTTTGGTCAGGTTCAGTTTCTTCCTGCTTCTCTGAGCTCCCAGATCTCAGATCCACCCCTTTGCCTCTGCTCCAGAGACATATGGGATTGTTTGGGGACATTTCACACCTCTTTTCTTTCTCCAAATCCCTCTTTCTCTTTTATCTCAGCCCCTAGATCTCAGTGAAGGAAAGAGGCTGAAACATGAAACAGTGGAAAAGAGGCAGAAATTTCACTAATGCAGTCCACAGCATGAGATGTGCCCAGGGAAGCAGAGCAGCATAAAATCTGCATTTATTGTTTAGAAGTAAATGCTGCCAGCAGGCTGAGACATCATCTTCCTAAATACAGTACAAAGTATTGATTGCATTCCCTGTGCATTCCCTACCTTTGCTCTTGCACCAAGCTCTGAGTTTAGAAAGCAGCAAGCATCTCACTCCCACTGCAGTCTGCAGTTAGCAGAAGCACCATGGCCAGGCCCTGCATCCTACTCTCCGGAATAAGAGATGCTCATCTTCAAGACACTTGTCTTCTCCTCCACAGCCCAATAATTTTGAGGAAATAATACCTGCAAAGAGCAGGGGTTGAATTTGTAGTCCTGGTGTGTCAAAGTCCTTTTCTTTCCACTGTAATGTAATTTATTGTGTTATATTATTGTTATATATTGTGTTGTTATTATCACCACTAAAATGTTTATATTATGAAAGCTAAGTAGTTTAGGTGCTTATTATCTCAGCTTTATCAGTAGTTGTTAGGCATGGTCCGGACCAGTCATCAGGAAAAAAATGGCAGAAGTGCCTATCTTGCTTGCGTAGAAAGCAGTCAGGGGCTATGTAAGAGGGGAATCATGACTTGCAACAATATAAAGTTTAGGAAAATCAACATACTACTGTTGAAATACATAAATGTTTAGAATATGTATATCAAATAAACCATGGAATTATAGATGTTCACTTTCAAAAGAAATAGAAAAGATTCCCACATCAAAAACAGTAATAATTCAGAATCATGGTAGGAAATATGCTGTGGATCATTAGTTAGCATCATGAAAAGCAGTGTAATTATATAAGAATTACAAGTAGTTTCGCTGAGAGAGATTGATTACTTACTTGCACCAAGAGGAAATGATTTCATAATTCCTCCTCTGGATGTTTCCCAGATTTTAAGGCATTATGGTTTTCATTTAGTTTTAATTGGCAGAGGAGCGGTAAGTGAGCAAAGATGTACGAAAGGGGCTTTCTCCATGCATTAGGAGTTCTGTGCTTGGAAAGTCAGCTCCAGGCACCGCCGAGAGCACCGAGCATTCATTGCTCGAGAGCTCCAAGCATTCATTGCTGAGCAACATCCCGGCAAGGCAGGCAGCCTGCTATGGCAGCTCCAAACCCGTATTACTCACATATCACCACTGGTGCCTTACAATATGCATCATTCATGTTCTTTTCTGGGGATTTCTTTTTTTTTAAACGGGGATTGAAGTATCCAGTGGAATCCTTGGCATTCATGCCTTCAAGCAATTTATGCCTCCATGTTTATGTGGAGAAAAAGGCACTGATGAGAGCACAAGCTGTGACATGGGAGCGTCAGCTTGATCCCTCATCAGAGATGCTGTTTCCAGTTTCATGATGGCAGAGGAAGATTTGCCCTCATGATACATGGGATGCAGGAAGAAAACATGAAATGCAGAACTATATTGCTGCTAAAAAGGTCTCCTTGCTTATAAAAGAAAGGATTGGAGTAAGGTACTGGGAAGTATGCAGTTTGACAAACACGCTGGAGTGGTACAAAATACCTAAAACTGGGATCCTTACAGGAACTGGCTGCTTTGGCATCACGTTCCATGCTCCTGGGACGCCTTGCCAGTCCCTATGGGACAACACCTTCAGAAGCAGGGTTTGGGAACTGGGCTTGATATTTGTCACCTCCTCCTGCCTGGGGCCTATATTCACCCAGTCCTCTGGCCACTGGGACATCCACAGGCCACATAGGTCACCCAGCATCACCTGTGCATTGCACAGGGTGCTCAGTTGGAAGCAGTGACATGGAACAAGAGGCTCCCTTCTCACTCCTGCACCTTTGAGCAGCCCCGTGAAATGTGCCCAGCTCCAGGCAGGATGAGGCCAAGCAGCAATAGGCTCTGTGCACCACAGCGGGGACCCATGGGGACAGCAGCAGCAGCCTCAGCCCCACCGCCACCCACTTGTTGCTTCCACCCACCTGCTCACACCTGAGCTGAAGGACTTCCAAAAGCCTTTCACAGAAGAAATCCAACATCCTGAGCAAGACCAAAACATCCATCTGCTCTGCTCAGCACCACAGTGCAGCTGATGCCCACCAAGAGCTCCCATGGAAGCAGGGGAGTTGCAAAGTGGAGGTGAGACAGGATATGTGCTTCTCTGCTCTGGCCTGCTGGGGCTACAGGAGAGGCTCAGTCCCTGTTTTTTGGGTCTGCTGTGCCCAGAGAGATGCAATGACTCACAGTCTAGCAGCCAGCTGGGAAATTACCATCATCACAAGCCAGGGTTGTGGTGTAAGCAAGCAAGCATCTGTTATTCCCAAGAGTCAAATAGGAGCAACACATTCACAAATGGTATAAAAGAGATAGCAGAAATTAAAGGAAAACAGGCTTGCCTCTACCAAGATGAGCCAAAGGTTTCTTTCATTCTCCTCTGGGCTGCTGTGCACCAGCACGTGGTCAGGGCTCCTGTGCAGACTTTCTGCTTTCACATTTGTGGATGCTGAGCAGGACCCAGGATTAAGATTGTTTGTTTGCCTTTATATAAAGACCTTTTTCTAAGATGAGTGAATAAAGACTTAGGAAATGTCTTCCCACACCCCCTAGGGATAACTTGTTTCCTTGATTAATTAGGAGATGTTTCAAGCACTGCTCCCTGTCTTCAGGCATCCAGCTATGCTTCACTAGACACATCAACAAGCTGGCTGGAAACATCCCTCTCCACCTGAGTGACCACATTCATGCTCTACTTCCAGCCTTTCCCCACCTTTCACACACAAAAATTGTAACTCAGCAACCACACTTTGTGCACTCGCACTGATAGGGCTAAACCTGAGAGCTCCTACAGCGTTGTCTGGAGGTTGGCCCTGAAAGCACTCGCTCGCTCTGGGGACCTGGGGTGACAGCTCTGACCCTTAGCCCCCCTCCGGCGGGTGCCATGGCACTGGTACTTCACTATTTCAGGGCAATGGCATTTCACTGTGCATCCAGTTATCCAGGACTGCAGGGCTCCCAGGGCCACCTCTTTCCCCAGCCCTGAGCAGGAGATGAATTAACCCTCTGGGAGCCCCTGAAACCAGCAGCATAGCATTAAAGGCTCCAGCCTCCTTTCCAATCCAGCCTCCTTTCCAATCCAAAGACGACATCCATCACTGTCCCTCCGTCCCCCCTCCCCCCATTGAATTCCTCAGGCTGTGCACATGCTGAGGGAAGAAATATTTCCTCTTGTGTGTTTTAAATTTATTGCCCATTAATTCCAGGAGAGCCCTTCTTCTCCTGTCCAAAGCAGGACGCACCAAGCCACCTCCAGACTCTGACCTGCCTCAGTAACAACTTCTCCAGCTTTCCCCATTGTCAAAGGACTCTGTATGGCAGCACCAGCCCAGCGACCTGGAGTGGGGGGGTCAAGTGCTTGGACTTGGTTACCAAGTTCTGTTTGAGACATGTTAGAGTACCTAAACAGCCATGACCCAGCCTGGGGCTCCTCCAGTCCTGATCTGAAGATGGAAGTCAGGTAGGAAAAGACAGGCCATCTCTGAAGGCACCAGATGCCAGTGTCCATGTGCATGAGCCACAAGCTGAGCCCCAGCTATATGGCAGGAAAGGAAGGAACATAGACCTTGGCCTGGACACAGCTCCCCAGATGATCATCGCCAAGATCTGTACCTAATGTAGGCAGACCAGATGTAGAGTGATCAGCAAGGAGCTGCTGAAGCCTCACTATGCAGAAGCCCAGCCTCTGCAGCCACTGATCCCTGCCGGCCTGGGGGCTGCAGGAGGAGCAGGCGATGTGGCATTCAGATCCCAGGGAAGACCCTGCCCTGTGAGGGCGGCCACCTCAGGCACAGGGAGCAGTGCCCGAGCTATTCGCCTTAACCGCGGGGTGTCTGATCTCCAGTAGCTCTATCGCCACCCCAGGTCTCACCCTGGACATTTTCCTTTCTGCAGAAGTGGCCTCTTGCCAGGGCCTCTGAGGAAGGAGCACATTACTCTGCTCCCCCAGGGACAGAGCAGGGGTGGTTTTTCTATCCCAGCCTTACTTCCCACCTGCTATTTTCCATCTCGTTGCACAGCTTCCTCCCCAGCCTGGTGTGAAGGTCAACTGGTGAGGTAGAAAGCAGCACAGAAACATTCACCAGGCAAAACACCCTGGTGCAGGGGCACCTCCAGGCACAAACATCCCCGGCTAAGGGCAAAACATGGCAAAAGCAGGCTGCCCCTATCCTGATGGCCACAGATCACCCCACAACTGACAGAAGATAGCTTAGTATGGCCTATTCTGGCCATCAACCCAACCAGGAACCTCCGGGCAGGAGACTGGCTAAAATCAGAGCCCTGGGGTGGGGATGAGCTGGGCTTCCCTCAGCTCACACCCAGCACCAGGTTCAGATCAGGGGACACTGGAGCTGGAATCTGGAGGAAAGACTGTCCCAGAGAAGCACCCCAGCCTCTGAGGGGAAACATCTACTCTTCTGGGGACAAGCAGCCATAAGACAGGTGCTGTGGGGCTGAGGTCTCATGGACCCCTGGGCTCAGACCCCTTGCACCAAGGCAACATCACCAGCCACATCCCTGAAAGCCATCAAGCCATTCGTCATCCCTTCCAGAGAAAAGCAAACCAACAAACAAAAAACTCCCTTCCCTCCAGAGCTAACCAGCCCTGGGCCCAACAAGGATATTTTTGTGGATTTTACTGGTAGGGTCAGGTCTGGGTTCAGCTGGAACTTGGACAACAGCGTGATGGTGCTGGGACCTGCTGAGCCGGTAGAGCACAATGACAGGATCTCTTTGTCTGCTGGAGCATTGCTGGAATCAAAGGATGTTTACCCAGCTTGTGGGGGATCACTTGATTGGAAAGTACATCCCCAGAGCTCCAGTCATGCTTGTCTGCCTGCCAGCTCCCCCCACCTCCTCCAGAGCCAGAGTCCTGACCACATCTAAGCCTCCCAGAATAGTGTAAGACTAAGCAGATTCATAAAGATAACAGCTCAGGCATTTTTTTTTTCCCCCTGCTCTTTTGTTCCTCTAGCCACTGTGGTGGACCCCAGCTTTCAGTGAAGTTGTCACACAGACATCTCATGGAAGGAGGTCACCACTGGAAGAGCAGTCACTCACCCAAAACTGTTCGTAGCAGGAGCAGGTTTACCAGCACACAGAAAATGTTGGGAGAAGTTGAATAGCACAGCTGGGGACTCGTGAGAAGTGGTCTCATGCTGCCACATGACCTATGTGAGAATCCAGGGTCAATCCGTTCCTCCAGCAAAGAGGCCAAGTCTACGTTAAATCACCTTGACCATGAGCCCATGCAGCCCAAACACCCACTGCTCCATTTCTGACTTGTAAATAAAAGTAAAACCTGCTTTTACCATCCTGTCTGTCTGCCTTTCTTGCTCCAAGGTGCACACTTTTCCAGCAAACATCTCTCCTGACACCGTTACTGAATGGAGATTGCAAGGAAAGGCCTGGTTGCTGCA